CGAGACCTTTTCTGAGTCGCGCATTGATCCCGTCGCGGATTTTCAAGTTGATATCATCGTCCTTTCTCAAACATCATCTCACCTGTCGACATCTTTACTGCCAGGGCTGTCTGCCGACGAATGGCAATCATTTTTCGGCTCAATTTTGCATTCCCCCCAGTTTCCAATCAGGAACCGGATAGGTGAAATGAGAAAGACTTCCCAAGATCCAGCTTTGGGCAAAGTCTTACCTCCGGACAGTCCCGCTTGAACCAGCGGCCGCGCGGCATCGGCGCCTGCTCGGATAGCGGACCCCACAACCCGGTAATTGTGGGTCCCGGGGCCGGGCATGCTAGCACAGGTATCAAAGGGGCGCACGCATCACTAAGTATGGTCAAGGGAAAAGTATTTGAAGGATAAAAAATGTGCGCTTCCACCGCGGCTTGTATGTTCAATGGCTGTCTATAGGTATCTCTAGTATCATACAAAAAGAAAAGTTGACACGGCTAGCCGATCCGTTCATCAGGCCCGCGCCCTAAGAATCACACTTTAAGAAGGGGGGGCACCGGTGCCGGAGGGGGGAGCGCCGGACATGGTGCCGTTGCCGGTGCCGTTGCCGCCGCCACCACCACCGCCACCGCCGACAGTGTAGCCGGTAGAGTGGCCACCGTCCTCGCCGAGGTAGGCAGCAACGCCGTAGTAGTCATCGGTCTGGTAGTCGGCAGAGGCGTTGATGCCAATCTGGATCCAGGCGAAGAGACCGTCAGAGACATCCTCGCCGAGGTAGACGAACTGGGGGAAGGGGTCGTAGGACTCGTCGGCCTGGAGGACGGACCACATGTCCTCGGCGTTGGTGGTGACCTCGACGGTGTTGGTGTTGTAGGGAGCAAGCTCCTCGATGGTCTCGCGCAGAGACTCGGGCCAGAAGAGCTGGCCGATGTGGGCGACGGGAGCATCCCAGACGGAGATGGTGCCATTGGGCATCAGGGTCGCGTTGGTGTGCGACAGCAAGTGGGTGTGGACGGCACGGCCCTCGTAGTGGCCGGGGAAGATGGTCTCGAACTGGACGACACCGTCGTGGTCGGAGAGCTGGATACCACGGAGGAAGGTGGTGTTCAGGCCGGCCTGGCCGGACTCGACGCCGGAGTAGATACCGGTAGCGTTGCAGTTCCAGATGTCGACGGCGACCTGGGGGACGGGATCGCAGGTGTTGACGTCGACGTACTGGACCTCGAGGAAGACGGGGACACCGTCGCAGAACTCGGACTCGATGACGTTGGAGCGCATGTACTCGCCGACGACGTAGTAGGGGCCGTCGGTGATCTCAGGGGAGAGGACGCAGGAGGTGTTGGCGCTGAAGACGTCTTCGATGGAGGAGAAGATACCGTTGGTGGACTGGCCGGTCATGTTGTGGTTGATGGCCTCCCAGGCGTTGAGCTGGTCGAGGTCGCGGCGGTACTTCTTGGAGGCTTTGGGTGATGTTAGTTTGCAAGTTTAGGGAGACTGGAAGCAGAAGAGGCGGCTTACGGGTAGTGAGGCCCTTCTTGGCGCGAATCTCCTTGACCTTCTGGGCACGGCGCTCAACGGCGCGGGCCTGGCGCTTCTGGGCACCGGCGGAGTTGGAGCAAGAAGCGAGGGAGCGCTGGCCGATGTTGGCAACACCGTCACGGAGGGCGATGTCGCGCTTCATCTTGTTGTGGTCGTGCTTCTCGCCGGGGTGGGCGGAGACGAGGCCGGCGATGGCAAGGCCAGCGGCCGAGAGGGCGGTGATGCGGACCATTGTGTGTGTCAGGAAGAACTGTTGGTATCAAGACAATGAGCGAATGTCGAAAACAATTGTGTTGGTGTTCTTGCTGTTGTTGAAGCGAATGTTGCTGCGGTGGTTGCTGCTGGTGAGGAAAAGAAGTCCGAGATGATCGACTTCCTCGCCGGTCTTTATACAAACGTCGATCTTCATCGTCCTCTATCTCTCGACGCCGCGTACGTGATGTGGACTGGAGAGGGGCTCGTCGCCTTCTTCCGATCCCCAGCCTGGGACCTGGACCCAAAGCATGGGAGAGCCCTCGTCATCCCACCCTTTCCGCCAGTCCACACTTGCTATTTTCGATCGTTTCCGTCCAATGTCTACGGCAGTAGGACCGCGTCGTCTGAACATCCCGTCCAACCAGCGCGGCGCAAAAGGTCATCCACAACCCGTTGGCAGTCGTGGCACTCACAGGGGTTCGCAGGTCCTGAGCCTCAGTTACACGACTTTGTTCTCCGCCGGGCGCATTTTCGAGTCAATGCGTCCCCACAGCGGTTGTCCTTAACTCAGCCTCAACGGCAGACGGAGTGCTACGCCAAGCAGACCACAGGCACTCAAGCATTCCAAGGAAGGAAAGAGGATGGTTCTAAAGCGGAACCCGGGGTCGATCCGGGGTGGAGCAGCCCGCGGGACGAACTCCTGGTCGACCTCCCACTTCCCGAAGGCTTGTGGAAACCGACGTTGGCAAAAGCTTCTCGTTAGGGGGCACCTGATGACGAGGCAGTGCCCACATCGCGGGTGGCGCCGCTGTGCGTTTACGCAGCTTCAATGAGATTGGACCAAATTTTGCTGACAGTTCACCCTATCGAGGGGTAGAGGGGCCTGTTTACTCCCTTACAGCCCAGGTTCCCTCGGTCTGTGGGAGGGCTTTCGAAAGGGGCGGGTAATGTGCGCAACCGCGGTTCTAGGAACTTTTTGGCAGCATGAATGGAGATTTGAGGAGGGAAAGAAAAATCTGAACCGCCAGCCTGATGCGGTTGTGCAAATTTGGATCGACCGAAAAGTCTTCTCTCTGGGTAAACGCATGCGCTTGTAACTAGCCCCAAAGAAAACCGTACTGCGACTTCATGATTAATGCTGCAAATTCGTCTGAAAAGGCAAAGAAACAACAGTGACACTCGAGAGCTATGATCCTGCTCTGCGCAATAGAGTTCGTCTGGTGTCTGCGCTCCCGCAACCTAGGAAACATGAATCGGCCGGGGAACGGCCGGGATGCCCGACATAAAGTTGAAAAACACCCGACCGGCCGGGGATCCCTAAATTTCGGGGGCGAGGACCGGGCCAGTCTTGGTACGCCCAATCAATCCAGCGAAATGCCATTGGCTGCTACGGACTAGCCTCACCCACCCCGAGGAGTCGAGGCCTTTGGGCGAGAGGTCTCTGAGTCGTCACCCGACGCGTGTCGCTATGGGCAGAATGCTCTATTTCCGGCCGATGAGGCTCCCTTTCTTTCCACAGCGTCACCGCCCGCTAGTCACATAGAGCATAGCGGAATTTTACGTGGCTGGCAGTTGGCCACATTTGCCGAAGTTATCACGTCCGGAGGGATGGACGTGTCTCGTCGGGTGTGTTGCCGTGCCGAGAGATTTTGAGCGCTTTTTTCTTTTCTCCTCATTCTTTCTGTATTCGTAGATTAGATCCATCCTGTGATTACTGTACAGTCCATGCCGTGGTCAGCCGGCCTTCACTTTACAGTCCAATTCAACGTGTTTCACTCCTACGCGTCCCAGGGACTTTGGTGATTTGGTGAAATTTTCAGCCCAGTTCATGCAGGGACGGCATCGCCAAGACACGCTTCCCGGAGCGTTGCATCCATCGGTTTTCCCGCCTTCTGCAGCGGCGAGCCTTCACGAATGGGTACAGGAACAAGCCTTGGCCAAGATCTGTCAGTTTTTTTAGGGCAGTCCGTCTTGCCCATCGCCTCTACTGTAGTCTTTTGCCGACGACTCGGCACCTATCAGGATTGCAAGATTTCAAAGCCGTCTCTATTTCTGTTATCAAAGCCCCCTCCTGGTCCTTGTTATGGTTGTTGAGTGAGATCCCGATCATCCTAGACCGTTGCGACTGGGGTTCGTCTACTCGCTGCCCGCACTCCTGCTCTCCGAGCCATTGCGAGTCCACGGCCCCAATTATTCGAGGGCTGCGCCCGGCTTTGTGACGACTGCGGAATCGTTCAAGGATGACCAGTCCGCACGCAGGTAACCCCATTCATCCAATTTAGTTATCACAAGGCGAGTTCAACTTGATATGGAAACCGTCCGTCACTTTCCTGAAATGAAAAGAAGATACAGCGAGTGTTCACGCGTTTAAACAGGAATGCAACCTTCCTCTTCTCAGGCTCCTGTGACCACCCGTCTCGGAGTCTCAAGACCTAGAGCAAATTGGCTTCTCTGCGTATTTACTACCTCAAGAAAACACGTTCTTCTTAGCGACCACGATTCGTAAAGTCTGGTTTATTGCTTCTAGGCGGCCTGAAGTTGTGCGTGGATAAGAAGTAAACAGTTAGATCATTTGCTAGCAATGCGAGAAACGGTTTGCTTTTCGCATCAGCTATCGTGAAATTCTCATTCACATTGCTCTGCGGGAGCTTCTGATAAAGCGCATAAAAGCATAATGAGAAAATGATGACAAGGACATATTGAGGATATTTGGATGACTTGACTCGGTGTTTCCCGGTTTCTGTCACGGCTGCTTTTGATTCTGTTGTGTTGTTCTGACCCACCCTATGGATCGCGAAAATGTGCACCCATGACCACCAGGTAAACGTGACGTCAATATTAGACTTCAAGCAGAATATCTGCGCTGGCGCGCGGTTCCCGCGTCTCCCGCAAACGCGTGTTATTAAGGTTGTGTTGTGGAGCTCAAAGTTTGGGCTAGGACTGATGTGAGTTGCGGATGTTGCCTTTGAAAGTTCATCATGTGCCGACCGCCGTCTGTAGTAGAAGAGAAAACGGAGTGCAAAACGCTAAAACATCACCCTACTAAAATTTAATATTGATACGATTTGTATTTGAAATTCGAGTTGGCATTATGCCCGTGTGCTTTCGCATCGATGCACACATATTAGGTGCATATCTCGCTTCCATCGACAAGGGATTGAATGAGATAGTCGCGATGTAGGGTCGCAGAATGAATGAGATACGCCTCACGGCTTACTGTGTAAGCGGCCCTGATAGATATGATCATAATATGACGTGAATATCGAGTTAAGCACATGTCATGCTGTGTATGGGAATGTCCTACTCAAGGGGAGATGCCTCGATGGTCTCAACGGAACAATCATCGCCATCCTTCTCAACTGCGGAGAGATGCGGCAGCAAGAACCGGTGTAAGTGATGCAACCAGTTCTAACGTAGCCCCAAGGAGGGTCGCAGCCGTACAGGCCGCGGTTCTGGTTGTCCTTGTTGACATAGTAGATGCGAGATCCCGCGCACATGCAGACGGTGGGAACGCACCAAGTGGACGAGCCGCTGTTGAAGACACTGTTGGTCAGTAAAGCATGCTATGGAAGAGAAATTCAAGAGCTCTTGAAAGTGTTAGCAGCCGCTGGGGCCTGACGAGCTTCGAAAGGGTGATTTTCAGCCCGCATGGCGACGGACAAAACCGTACGTTAGAGCTGCTTGTACTTTACCCACCCACGACCCTTAAACGAATGCTCATGGATGCTCTTCATGATGTCCCAGAAATGGATAAAGATTCTTCGATTTGCTGTCTTACTGCATCAAGCTTTCTGCATGATCGTGTATCTTCCAAAAAGTGCCATGTGCACTTTTACTCCTCAGATCACTGGCCTATGCTTGGGAAGTATCCAATAATAGAATACAAGAACCCAATAGTCTAATATTCTAAAGGCTTTTCCGAGGCTCGTATTAAGGGGGGTGACTGTCCAGCATTCAAATCCTTTCGTGAAACCTGAAGATTTACCTGGCATCTTGAGAACTACAAGCAAGCAAGAGAGCTCTGTCTACATCGCTGACCGGTAGACAATAAGGATCAACGTCAGTTTGAATGCTAAGAAAGCCTGAAAGATCAATTTTGGCTGTCTGTAGTTATTCGTGTAAGCATGTCAGCAATCCAATCAATTACAACATGTTTCCTCGGAAGCCTAAAGCCTGGCAGCTGCTTGTAAATATCTTTGAATGTTTTTGGCGTGTCCCAATCTGGAAGGAGGCTATGTGCTGTGCCTCCTGTAGCGCCAACTATATCTATCAGCAATCTGGCGGATCTCTCCCGGATCAACTTCGTCTAATGGATGTCAGCTTCGGGTAGTATTTCTATGAGACGCGGTAGCGCTGGCCATTTGCATTCAAAGACTGTTTAGCGACAACCTCAACGTCCTCATCGGACGAAGGCTGCTTGTAGATTCGGTCAACGAGGTATCATCTGAAATTTGGTCTCACTATCCATATGCCCAAGACATAGAATCAAACAGATGCGAAGCTCGTTTGCAGCCTAAGGTATGTTCCACACAATCGTTGACTTGATCAATTTCCTGCAGCTGTTAGATACTTTTCGATGGTTGTGACACATCATCTGTCAGTTTTCTAATGACCCGTATACGTACGGAGAGAAAACTGCGTTTCGTGATATCATCCAGGAAATGAAGACCAGGTGTGGCGAGTTGGTGCCCAATGAAGCCTCGACCATCTCCATCTTGGATTCGTGAAAGCGTTTTCTCTCGGACGTTCTATTTATTTTGTCAGTGGAAGCTACTGATTTAGATTGCCCTTATTCTTCGGATCTAAGTTAAAAACGTCGATGCCATTCACAGCAATTTGGGTAGCAATTGTTGCGTATGATTCACCGTCATTGCATTCTCAGTTCCTCTAATTCCCTCCCTGGGAGCGTCCGATAGTTTGGGATGACTTGGTAGTCACCTTGACAACCCTGGTTTCCGTTGACAATCGAGAGAATCGCGTCGTGGTTCCGAGGCACATTGCTTACGTGGTTTGAAGATGGGTTGATCTCTCCACCAGCATCATATCAAATGTGACCTAGTCTTGCGGGGCTCAACGCAGGCGAAGCTCGGTTAAACTCTTGGGATGAAGCACATGGCATAGAAGTCCCTTGATACCACACAAGTCCCTTTCCACTCTCCGTGCATCGAACTCAGTTGTGCCAGACCTGATGGCTCCACAAACCGGCCAGTTTGTGCACTCGGCCGTGCGAAGTCGGTGCCGTGTCGGCGCCGAAAACCAACATCGAACTCCTGTTCCAACATCACATCATAGCATGTGTTGACTTACTGATGCTCTCTGCCTCTCAAGGGCACACGTCATGATTCGTCAACTTCAGCTTGGTCGACTGACTGCTCAAGCCCTTGCTTTGATGGCAGGTTATGTCGTACAGACATGGATGTCTCTTGCCGCGGGGAAGTTATGCAGACTGAAGCACGGACGTTTCGATATTTCCGTGTTCACGCACATGGTGCGTACCAATGCATGTTATGATGGCCTGAGAAAAATGCAGCTGGACGTGTCGTGGTCGCGGCAATTTCTCGTTTCCAGAGCATGAACCTATCACGGCCAATTTTTCCAGGCAAGGGTAGTATTATCCGGTTCATCATGACGTTTGAACCCCTGGCCCCGTGTACGAACAGCCTTTTTTGGGATCAGCTGCCGTTAGCCGGCTTGGAAACTAGCACATGTCTAAGAACTCTCGCAGGTGTGCGACGATGTCGCGCCCAATCATCTCATGCAGATTACCGCTCAGTCAGGCCTTACGGAGGTTCGACCTGGCTCCGCAAGTTCTAACCACAACTGCCGACTGCACAACGGCTGCAACGCGGCATGGATGTGCCGCCACCTGCGATCTCAAGTGGGGCCAAATGGGCCGGACGCGGGCCAAGCCGGACGAGTTATGCAAAAGCTTGTGCAAATCGCGGGGTCCGGAGGCGCGATGGCAGCCGGATTATGCGTGGACTTTGCGTGATACCCACAGACTTGCAACCGTGCCCTGCAGTTGTGTCGCGGAGATCTTCGTTTCCCAGGGGCTTCGGCTGCGGAGTTCTGGACCGAATCCCGCTCTCTTCTTGGATTAAAGAGACTTCAGTCCAGTCTTCAGCCGTGAAGATACCTTTGCAGCCTCATGTTTCCGAGTGTAAGCCAGTTTGGAACCGCTTCAGGACATTTCTGAGGCATCGAAATGAATATGGCAACTCATCTCCTCGACGACAGAGCTCGGCTCTTCAGCCTACACAATGCCGCATGGGGACTTCTGCTGACGGCTTGTCTGGTGCGTCAGCCCCTTTTCATCGAATCCCAACTCCAGCTTCGTTGATTTCTAACGATGCAAACAGGGCTTGGTTTCTCTTGTTTCGGTGCTCACCTACAATGTGTTCTTCCACCCCCTGCGAAAATATCCTGGACCCAAGTCGTGGGCCGCGACTCGTCTTCCATACACCCGGGCTTACCTCTCTGGTCAAATCCACAAGAGAATCTTCGAGCTTCACCAAGAATATGGCCCAATCGTGCGAGTCGCCCCCAACGAGCTTGCTTACAACCACCCCGACGCATGGAAGGACTTGCATGGTAACCTCAAGAATGGAACTGGCGATCACGGCAGAGACGAGGTCTTTATGCGCGATAATAGGCAAAGCATTATTGGTGGCAACCGCGAAGATCACTCCCGATACCGACGAGCGCTGTCACATGGTTTCTCGGCTCAGTCAATGTTCGACCAGGAATCCATAATCAAGAAGTATGTGGACTTACTGTTCCAGCGGTTGCATGAGAATTGTGCTGGAGGATCAAAGCCGCTGGACATGGTTGCATGGTACAACTGGACGACTTTCGATGTAATCGGAGACCTGGCGTTTGGTGAACCCTTCGGCTGTTTGGACAACAGCGACTACCACCCTTGGGTCAAAATTCTGTTCGCCGGCGTCAAGGAGGGGGCCTTCAAGTTCAACATCCGACGGTACCCTCCTATCGAGAACCTTTTGATGAAGTTCATGCCCGCGAGCATCAAGAACAAGAGAGAACAGCACATGCAACTCACACGCGAGAAGGTCAGAAAACGACTTGCTACTCAGGTGGAGCGCCCGGACTTTATGGACTCCATGACGCGGAAGAGAGGTTCTATGGTACGCGATGATGCAACAATATCCGATCTCGTGGCTAATGTTTCAACAGGAGCTGCAGTTTGAGGAGCTCCGTGCCAATTCCTCAACTCTGATCATCGCGGGATCTGAGACTACTGCGACTGCGCTTTCGGCTATCACTTACTACCTTACCACACATACAAGTGCTCTGGAGAAGCTGAACAACGAAGTCCGGTCGGCGTTTACCTCGGAAGACGACATCAACATGGTCAGCGTGCAGAAGCTCCAATACATGCAGGCTATCATCAACGAAAGCCTCCGCATGTATCCACCAGTCCCAACGGGCATCATGCGCAGGGTGTCTGAGGGCGATGGCCTTTTCTTGGGACAGCATGTGCCCAAAGGCGTAAGTTGCTCGTCAGACACAGCTCAATCACACAACTAATGAAGTGTAGAGTCTTGTCCAGGTTTGGCACTGGCCTGTGTTTCACAACCCCGACCATTTTACCTTGCCCGACTCCTTTATTCCTGAACGCTGGCTCGACGATTCGCGATTCTCTGGTGACAAGAAGGAGGCATTCCAGCCTTTCTCTGTTGGTCCAAGGAACTGTATTGGAAGAAAGTGAGTTGACCCCCGAGCTATCTGCTGCTGCAACGTGAAACTGATAACAAAATAGCTTGGCATATGCGGAGATGCGTTTGATTCTTGCCAGAATGGTGTGGAACTTTGACATGAGAATTGTGGAGGATAGCAAGGGATGGGATGAGAGGAGCCAGGCGTTTCTGCTTTGGGAGAAGGGACCTGTTTACTGCTACATTACACCTAGGAAGGTTGAGTAACTTGGTACTATCTATTTCACATGAAACCACTTTGATCTATATCCAAGATTTATTGCAAGAATAGAACCAGCCTCGTTGTTTCGATGATTGAGCATTTAGGACAGACTGTTAGGCAGACAAATTCTTAAGCATCCGCAACCTTGACACCAACGCCAGCTCCGACAACAACTCTGCTGAGATGTTTGCTCCGCTTAACAGGTTTCGGATCGTTGAAGATTTCCTCAAGCTCTTCCAAAGATCTTCCCTTGGTTTCAACGGTAACGAAGTACATCAGCACCAGATGGACGCAATGAAGAACCAGGAAGATGGTGTATGTCTTCCATCCAATGTCCTTGAGAGCAATCGGTGTCGCGTACAGGTTGATAAAACTCGCGATACCTGAAACAAACTTGTCTGCTGCAATTCCTTTAGCCCGTATGTCGGTGTTGAGAATCTCTGCAGGATATAGCGCTTGAAGCGGTGTCCACGTGAATGACATGACGATTCCATACAGGAATATCATCGCGATGAATGCGTATCCTGATGCTGTGTCGATGTGGCCACCGGAAAGAGCC